GCAAACAATACAAACATAATGGTCTAAAAACCAATAAAAATTAAATTCTAGTCATAAATTTCTAATTTTAGTAAAAAACGTACTTTGAACAAATCAACAGATTATTACAGATTATTAACAGATTATGAAAGGGCAAGTTTAATAGTATTTCTTTCAATTATTAATAAACCGATTTATTTTTAGAAAGTGTAACATAGATATAACAAGAAGTATCTTGTGAATTCGTTTGTAACATATAATAATAATGAATTGATCAGCAGACTATTCTGGAATCGAATCCCGATATGGAAATATCCCTGATCTCGCTCTTGTATTGTGTAACCATTAAAAATATTACTATATTAATATATTACATAAGAAATTCCCTTTTGTTAAAGAAATTTTTATTATTTGTTATAATTATATTACAATAAATTCTCTATCGAAGATCTTATCTTTTATACGTAGAAAACATCTCTATTCTCATTATGAAATTAAAGAGCGATTCTCGATAATGGCATAATTTGAAAATTTTGCTGTGTCAGACCTAGGAATTTGACTAAATAATAATAATATATTACTAATCTTAATAATTAATCTTAATAATTAATCTTAATAATTGTCCTGATATATACAAAAAGGTTTTTATTACCACACTAAACTTATGTTAATTTTTGAGATTAACGTTATTCATATATATATAAAGGTCATGTGGCACAAAAAGAATGACTTTTTGTCACATTGCGACAAAAATGTCAATCCCTAACCGATTCAGTAGTTAGTATAACGCGTAGATTTTTTTGTGTTTGTTATTATTATTTAATAAAGTTGAATAAATTGTCAGCATATTAATATTGGTTGTCATAATAATCAATTTGATTTCCTCCGTAATAAAAATACCTAATATCAATGTTACTATTATTAGTTTCAAATGGTTCGAAATGTACACTATCTGACCATTGATCTGACATAGCCTGGATGACATTTGGATGTAGAGTAAATGTTGTCATTGTGATCGGTTCATTAGTGCTAATGTTGTCATTATTAATATCCATCATATTTGTATTAGTACTGATATTATTACCATCAATATTCATCATATTCGTATTGGTACTAGTATTATTGTCATCCACATTCATATTCATATTAGTAATAATATTATTGTCATCGTTATCTATATATTTTTGATGGTCAGTTAATTGATTAAGTTCTTGTAGTGATGGCAATTTTAATAATTGATTGGATTCTTCTGAAAGCGAATGTATGGGGTCTACTTCTTGAGTTGAGCACCGAGTATTATCCTGGACCAATGATTCACCCTCTTCTGGATCAAATATACAATCATTGTAAACTTTAGCATTGATTGAGGATGAAGAAACGAATGTTGATGATAATGATGACGATGGTGAAGACGACGAAGATGACGAAGGAGACGACGAAGATGACGAAGATGACGAAGGAGACGACGAAGACGAAGAAGACGACGATGTAGCAACGTTTTCGAGAGAAATCATTTTCCGATTTTCTTTGCCAAAATTCTAGAATAATTTTTGTTATATTCGTTTCTTCTGAATCTTTTCTTTTCACTGGAAGCCTCGTGTGAAAACTCTATTATAATAATAATAATAATAATAATAATAATAATAATAATAATAATAATAATAATAATAATAATAATAATAAGGAAGTTTTCATCCGGAAAAATTTCCCTCAGATATTGTGAAAATAAATCAGAGTGTAAATTGACAAAATAATTGTTATTAGATAACAAAATTTCTAAAGGTTATTTATGAAAAGGAAGATAATTTTTGAAGGTCATAATATATAAAGGATTTAAAATTTAAAATTTTTTTTTATTATTCAATATTACTTTGAGAAAAGAATATTTACTATATAGAAAAAAAGTGATCTTTTTTTTTTTCAGGAAGTTTAGTGTGTCTCTTATTTATAACTAACACTAGAGGTAGTACAGTAATTTTTTAATAAAGAAAGAAAAAAGTAATGAAATTGAAAATAAAGAAGATATTAATTTATTTGTTTGCACTTTATACTTTTTAATTCAATTGATACGATTTGTAATTATTTTTATTTGCTTTTTTCAATTTCAAAGAATTCTAAGGATAAATCTAATTTTAACTATCTCCAAATTCGAACAAACCGGAGTTTCATTAATATTAAAAGATGCATATATACAAATGACTCAGTTTCTTTTTAGCCACAAATTAAAATATTAAAATAATAATGATGAAATTTATTTTGGCCCGGTTTGGGATAATGCAAACCGGTTTGAACCAGTTTTGTATGAGCCACACCTGCATCAACCATTGAGGTGTATTAGATAGAAGTATAATTGACAAACCTGGGAAAATCAAACAATAAACCTAATGGTAGTGAATGTTGAATATGCGACTGAGACATAACAGAATATTTATTTATCAACGTTCATATTTAAAATGCAATTTTCGCCATAACTTCTAGATGAAAGGTTTTTAGGAATTAAAAACACTTTAATTTTTTTTCTAGCTATTCTGCTTCCAAAGTTATAAACGTTTTAAGATTTAGATTGTTAAAATAATTTATTTATTTAATTATAGAAAATCGGTTTTGCATACAAATGAGATTTTTTAATTCTAAAAATGTTACATTTCTCTGTAACATAACAGAGTCACATTTATCAACAGATAACTTTCCATATTGAAATGCGATTTTCATCATAAATTCTAAATAACTAACGATAAATCATATTAAACAAAAAAAAGGCGTTGCTATGTTATATACCAAGTTCCTAGAAATTAAGATCATTTTCAAAAAATTTCCCAATTATTTTGCTTCCAAAGTTATATAAATGTTTTAAGGTTCCGTTTGTTAAAATTAATTAAAGAAAAATCGTTTTTAATAAACTATTATCATCATACATATGAAACTTTTACCCATCAAATATATGGATCATCCGAGTACACGTTTAACGTATTAGTTAGATAAATATTAAAAAAATTTTTTTTTAAATTATGCATATATATTATATATTAAAAGACTTTTTTATCGTACTAGAGAATAATATAAATATTGTTATTAAAGGAAGCTGTGCTATCATAATCGATCAAAGAAAACCGGTTTCGGAGTCCTCTGATCATTACGCCACTTCGACTTCGTGATGTCATGATACAATAATTACAGGTTCTCAACTAGTATATAAGGCTTGAAATATTACGTGTGACATATTGTCCAAATCGTCATTCAAAAAATTTGTTTTTCTCGGCCGATTTTTTCCAGAGAACTTCTGGTGTTTATTTTTGATCCAAATGAAATAAATAAATAAATAAATAAATAAATTTTATTAACTAATAAAGAATACAGTGAATAAAATTTTGCATTTTTAAAAACCCCAGCAGTTAAAGGATTTTATTAATAATAATTTTTAGTAATGATTTAATTGAAATTATATTTACTGCATTTCCCATCCCGTCTTGGCTCCAAAACCCATGCATTAATTTATTTTTGCATTTGCACTTTTGCGTGAATTTATACATCTTCGAGAAACTTGTTCTATCCTTCTGCATTTTTCTGCGCATGATTTATTTAAGGGTTCATGGATAAGGTTTTAGTTAGTATCGTTGTACAAAATGTATGCAAGCTTCATTTAAAGTCTTTTCTAGTTTTTTAATTTAGTCATTTAACAAATTTTTGTTATACAGACATTTTTTTTTAAAATTTTGGTTTTTTTATATCTAAAAAAAAAAATCTAAATATATCACCACCTAATTGTTTCGTCATTTTCGCCTCTCACATTTCCATCATCATCAATTATAATATTCATATTACCATTGTTGGTACTTTTTTGACATTTAATTTGTAATTAAAAGAAAAGGCAGACCAATTCCTTTTAAAAGCAAGCTGATGGAAACAGAAGCCGAGATTATCAATTCTATCTAGTTTAACAAAATGAGGCCAAATTTTTGATTTTGTAATAATATATAATCAATAACAACTTGGTAAAAATTAAAAATTGCTTTTTCTTTTTTTGAATAGAATTATGTTAGGTATGTGACATTGCATGATTTGAAAAATCCTGCGGGTTGCATTTTTTTTTCATGCGCATGTCACATCTCTATACAGTAGACACTCTTTATAACGGACCTTCTGTTTTGGTAAAAAAAAGACTATTATAGAAAAAGGGAATTTGCAAATCATAAACATGTGATCAATTCATAATGCGATACAACAAGATTTTTATAAAAATAAAATATTATTTGTATTAAATATTTGTGAGTAATGCTTTTTTTTTTAATGTTTCAATATCAGAAAAATTACCATCGATTGGGGTCTTTATATAAGAAAGTTGGAAGGCGTTCTTATAACATATTTACAAATAATTATAGTAAATCTATATTATGAATCAATATTATATAGTAAGTCATAATGATGTTATTATGATTCATTGATATACAACAGGAAAGCAATGATTGAATAATTACGATAATAGATAGAAGTAATAACGATATATATATAAAGTAATGAAGATATGGAATAAGGATGACAGATATGTGAAATAATGTTGACAGATGTATTGTTGTTATAATAATAAACATATTGTAACAATTGAGAAATATGAGTGCGTCCAGATTAAGCATGTTAATTAAACTACGTAAATTTCCTACTTTAGCAATTATTATTATGATTTCCAGATCATGATCGTCGGCCGTTATATAAAACATAATATATGTGAAGACAGGCTGTTATACACTATTACTATATGAAATTTAATTAAGAAGACCAGAGTAGGGTTTATATTAATTAATATAGAAAAAAATTGGGATCCAATTCTCAGTTCGTTATATGGTTGGCTCGGTCTAAAGACCTCCTATTGCTGCGCCGTGCGGCCAAATTTCAAAATAGCAATTTTGTAATTCGTTCAAAAATATGACTTCACGTGATTTTAGGTTTCTTACTGCCAAATTTAGATACGATAGTCAAGAGCTAGTCTAAATTTGCTAATATTTTTCCTAAATTTATAAATGATCATAGTGGACAAATTCCTCGTGAGCATAGTAAAATACATGTTTTAAAAAAGAATAGAACTCTACAACAAATAATTTTTTTGAGAAAATCTCTCTATT